TATTGAGACAACACAAATGCACTGGGAAGCAATTTTTTTTTTTTTTTTTTTTTTTTTAATTAGAATTCAATTTTGAATAAATATTGTTGTTGTTTTTTCCAATGTCTAAATGCCAACTATATTTGAACATCCAATCCCAAAGATGTATGTGTATATATTTATAATATATTTGTTTTATTTACATGATATTTATTTAAATCAAGTCACATCAAAGTTTTAATTAACTAAATATGTAGAATTTATTTGAATTTATTAATCAGGTGTCATGACCTGGTACATTATTCCATTTATTCTCATTTTGAACCATTCAGGCTGATTGGAGACCGTCTGCAAATGTTAACGATATCAATCAGGTTAGACGCCATATTGAATTTAACACAGATGAAAACAAGGCTGTAAGGGATAGACTTACAGTCTTTACACTGGCAATGCTCTGTATAAATTCTAGATCATGTAATTTCCACAACTCATTACTTTCAAGACTGTTTTTTGAAGTTTTTGTCTTCTGAATTATTTTTAGAAATATGTTTCTTTAGATGAACAATCAACATTTTGTTAAACAACAGTACAGCCCACTAAACACACTGTACTTCTATCCCTAAAAGCCTGTAAAATTCCTGTAAAAAAAAGTAATTATGGTGCTCACAAAGGTATACAGGCACACTTTTTTCCATTGACTGGAGTTTTTCAGCCAATCACAGACCTATGGATGCACTCACATGACTAATTTGGTGCCACTCCCACACATTCATGTCATTCTACAGGTAGAGCCACAGGTAGCTTGCAACACCAAGGTCACGGGTTTGAATCCCAAAGAATACATGAACTTACAAAGTGTACATCTTGAATGCAATAGTAGTTTTGGATAAAAGTGTCTGCCAAATGCATAAATGTACAGGATCTCAGTGAGAACACAACTCATAAGAAGGCAAAAGAGATGCTGCCTGCCTTTGAATTTACTTTGAATACTGATGTTGCTTTTGGACAGTGTAAGTTTAGAAAAGTGTGTGTGTGTGTGTATATATATACACTAAACAAAATTATAAATGCAACACTTTTGTTTTTGCCCCCATTTTTCATGAGCTGAACTCAAAGATCTAAGTCTTTTTCTATGTACACAAAAGGCCTATTTCTCTCAAATATTGTTCACAAATCTGTCTAAATCTGTGTTAGTGAGCACTTCTCCTTTGCCGAGATAATCCATCCACCTCACAGGTGTGGCATATCAAGATGCTGATTAGACAGCATGATTATTGCACAGGTGAGCAACATGAGGTGATGGTCGTGGATGAATGGCACAACAATGGGCCTCAGGATCTCGTCACTGTATCTCTGTGCATTCAAAATGCCATCAATAAAATGCACCTGTGTTCGTTGTCCATAATATATGCCTGCCCATACCATAACCCCACCGCCACCATGGGCCACTCGATCCACAACGTTGACATCAGCAAACCGCTCACCCACACGACGCCATACACACTGTCTGCCATCTGCCCTGTACAGTGAAAGCCAGGATTCATACGTAAAGAGAACACCTCTCCAAAGTGCCAGATGCCATCGAATGTGAGCATTTGCCCACTCAAGTCGGTTACGACGACGAACTGTTGAGGCCGGTTGGATGTACAGTGTAAATTCTCTGAAACACCTTTGGAGATGGCTTTTGGTAGAGAAATTAACATTCAATTCACGGGCAACCAATTGCACACTCCTTCAAAACTTGCGACATCTGTGGCATTGTGCACTGTTCTATATGTACATACGTATACCCTGTATATACTGTTATACTTTTATGCTACATGCTATACTTTTCTCAAATAACTTTTTTTTTTTTTTGCAGAAACAGAGGCCCTCGGACCCTTTATTTTAGACAGATCCTGTGAATTATTTTGAAAGATAGCTATGTCTCTGTAGTGTCTTTTGTTTTTTATTGCTGGTATTAGCGTTAATGAAAGTATTATAATAAATGTGTGCTGCAGAGGATGTGCTATCAGCACCTCTAGTCCATCAGTAAAGCATGCACACTTTGAGTGATGACTTTCCTACAGGAACCAACAGCTGTATGTGCAAATCATGCATATAAATCAATTACCAGAGCCTATGTACTTTAAATGCACCCATTAATTAAGCAATGTCAGATACAATGGAGCGTGAAGTTCATTACATTTTTAGCATTCATGCACAGGATTATTTGAAGAGAAGACGGTTTTACCTAATGATCAGTGCCACAAAGACACGTTGCTGCCAGACAGAGAGAGCGTTTTGAAGGGACAAGTAAAACAGCAGTAGGACAGGCATTGATTTTTTTTTTTTTTTTTTGTGAAAAGCCTGCGAGGGATGGATGCACCTCCATCAGGTTATTCTGATGCACTGGTGCATTTGCTCTTACTTGAGCTCTGTCTGTGTGTGTGTGTGTGTGTGTGGTCTCTGGCTTCACTATTCCACACTGCAATTCAGTTTTAATGGCAGGAAAGTAGTTGTAAGAGAGTGGCCTACATTAGGCATTGACCTCTGCTTAATGAATATGAGAGAACGTTCCTCATCACTACAAGTTCCATGTTGTGACAAGATTTGCATATTCATTTTTTTTTCCCTTCGTCTCCTTGCAAATATTTTTTCTTTCTCAGTGAACAGGACATCTGCCTCTGCCACTCCAGAAATAAATAAATAAAACAGGAAATAAATGAGCAAAATCCACATGATATATCCAGATGCTCAGAGTGTGATGTGACACAAGAGTTTAGCATTTCCTGTTTGTGCAGCAGACCTCCCTGAGTGCAAGATACAGCTACCTTACCAGACAAACTTGTTGTTGTGTTATTTTCTTGATATTAAGAATGCTTGTCTACACACTTCTATAAATCCCATTACACTTGTTGTAATGCTCTTAAGCTGACATATCTTAAAGAGAAAGTGTAAAGAGTTCCTAAAGTCAAATATCTCTTTTTTTTAAATCCTTTGTGTAGTTTATTTCGATTGAGCAGAGCCAGCCTGCAGAATGGCCTCTGTCATACACACTGAACCCATCACTGTCTCTCTATATTCAATACCAGCAGGGCTACTTAAATGTGAAATTATACAAAGTGTTTTCTTTTCATGTTTCTCTCTAACTAGCAGCAGAACAGTGTAGATACTTCAAAAAGTTGCAGTTCCCATATCATAGTTTGACTTTGCTTTTCACTGAAATCAGCAAATACACAGCAGAGTGAACCCGTTGGCATCTTTCACAGAAATAACTGCTGCTAGAGATCCATTTGAATTTTATATCAATGTGAAATAGAAAATATACCAGCACCTCAAATATTTGATTGCTAATGACAAATACTATCTAGCTTCACCTTCAATGAACAGCTGAATATGGGTGAAGTTCAGTTTCAAGTGCTCAATACAATAAAACACAAATACAACCTACTAAACTTTTTTTTTTCATCATAATAGAAGTGGTCAGTAATGTTTTTCGAATGTAAGATTCTTATGTATTCATCATGTCTGTATTTCTTTGATCAAAAATGCAGTCACAAATGGCATTGTGATTCATTCATTCATTCATTCATTCCTGTGATGCCAGATTATAAGAATATACTGAGAATATGCTGATTTGGAAACTATTATTATTATACACAGTTGTGTATAATTGTTGTGCTTAATGTAGTATGCGATCCATACTAAATGTTTTTGTTTTTATTAAGGCTACCGATGTAATATATTAAGTTTGATTAATTATTATAGTTATAAAAAATAATGACCACTTGAATAGCAACTAAACTACATGCCTTGAGTACATTTGTATATTTAGTATGTACATTATATTTGTATATCTGTAAATGTAATTCTATTCTAAACAGTCTTATGGTATGACATCTTTGAAAATAAAAACAATTCCATGTAGTAATATATATATATATATATATATATATATATATATATATATATATACATACACACACACACACATGTGGTTCAGTATATTGTACGTATGCCATCTACTCATCTACTTAATAAAACCCAAGAATGCATGATGGATATGAATGGGTATGATGGGTTGAATACATACACACACACACACATGTGGTTCAGTATATTGTACGTATGCCATCTACTATCAGTTCTAATAAAACCCAAGAATGCATGATGGATATGAATGGGTATGATGGGTTGAATGCGTTTTTTTTCTGATGCTGGTCAGGGAAGAAGCTCTCTTGAACTGTACACAGAGAGAAACAGATGAAGGCTCATCTCAGCTGGGCTGTTCTGAGCTAAAAGCCCTCTGGTCACTACTCACTGATGCTCTCTCGTCGCATAAAAAACAGAAAGTTCAATGAGCACACAAGAGTCATAAGCACTGAGGTGCCGAGAGTCCCAAACAGCTTTTCCCCCAAACAGCCGCAACTTTGGGCCATAATGGTCTCCCATAAAGAAAATCATCATCAATGAAAATGACAGGTTATTAAGATCTGATATTAAGCAATGGGGTTTAATAATGATAGGTTATCTATAAAACCTTTACAACCTGGCACCGTACGAACAGATTCAATCTCGCCCGGCCGCCACCGCTGACACATGTTAATAAGCCCACAACCTTTAATTAAGCAGTATATATAAGTAGGGCCCCATTAAGGCCTGATTTGTGGGCGAGTTCATTACGTCAAGCACCGGGCAGCAGACACATACTCAATACAAATCAAGGCAGACAGAATATTATCCTGCTTAATGTGGCCCCAATATTGATATTTTATCACTCTCTCTTGATAAGTGACTTTTAGGATCGTCATTTTTCATGGTGTTGAAGCAGCAGTGAAGACCAAACGACCCACATTCATGTCTTCATAGAATTGTTACTTTACATTGTTTCCTGAGTGATGAACTGCTTTGCATTTATGTATTGTACTTTTCTTTGACATTCTGGTATTGGTTTCTACTTCTGTCCAAGGAGATCTGACACCAAAAACTGACTTTTTTTATACACACACAAATGCATCGTAAAGGATCCTTGGGTTTTGAAAGGCATTTATTTTATTATTTTATTTTATTTTTATTGTGTGGCTACTTAAGTTTATGGGCTGGGCTCTTTTATTCCATTGCTTGAGTCACAGGCACTTCCTCCAATAGGCTCAACCCTGTGTGATCCTGTAACACACATTTACATAAACGATGACAATTTCACAAACAAATAACAGCTTGTAGCATCACAATCATGTAACAGTTCATCTTAATATACATCCATCTGCAACTCACGCCAGGCAGGTTTTCTCCTTTTCCTCTCTCTGAGATGCATCACATTCTTCATCCTCCCATGTTCCTCATGCACCTCTGATCTCTGAAACTCTTTACTGTCAGAATCATGCATCACCTGTAAATAATACACCATTCAAATGTTCAAATTAATTAATTAATTTCATAATGCAAGACGATGTTCAAAACTATTGAAATTATTTTTCCACAATTAATGTGTATCCACCTAATTTTTAGTATACGAGTAGGCATGACCATTTGTAACTTGTGTGAATTATGGGCCACAAATAGCATTAAAAAAGTAAAATAAATCATGAATGATTGCATTGACCAATTCATTGATTTATGTTTGCAGAGGAAAAAGATAAAAAATATAATAAGTCATTTGTTCTGACTGAAAATAAAAATGTAAAAAAAAAACATTTTGCAAATTAAGTGATGTGGAATTTTGACCCATGAATTTCACAGTGGGAGTGTAGAGAATAGCAAAATGTCTTGCTGCTTGTCACGGCTGGTCAGAACAAAAACTTAAGATTAACATGAAAGAACGTTTATCATTTTATCACGTCACACCTGGTTAGGACACAGAACAAGATAACTGTAAAATTCTCATCATTAAGGTTGCTATGGAAAAATAGGCAAAATAACATTAATATGCATGCCACTGATTTGCATGATCTAACCCAGTTAAACAAGAAAAAAAGTTAATTATAACTATATATTTTTTTCTGTTTTCAGTTGACCTCATGGCATATGAGACATAGGCAATCAAACATACAGAACAGTGATTATAAGCAGACACCAGAAGAGGAACCGAGGTCATTTGTCAATGATTCTAGCTGCAGGATTATTTTAAAGGTTAAATATTTCATATCCAGATGCTAATCTGGGTCAATGTGGCTTCAGTCAGCTGTCCTGAGCTCTGACTCATAAATGTGAGCTGAACAGAAATAATTTAATAGAGGATCTAATATGCTATTATCCAAATGAAGATATACATAAAATGTCACGATTTTTACCTCATTGCCCGCACTGACTGGGAGCAAATGATCACCGCAGGTTCGAAAAGAGGTCTTTGAAAAGGCTTTGGTTCAATAACACACAGAACTAATGATAAAGGGGTGACTGTGACAAGATGTGATACACACATATATCAACTTGTGAATCAAAATTTCAGTTACATAAATGGTTGTTTTCTCTAACAGTAGTAGTAGTAATTATTCATAGTTAGTAACCATAAATCAGGACCTTTTGATAAATTCAACCTCTAAAATAAAACTCCAATTTCAAAAACTGCACCAACATACATTACTCAAGAGTCTGTATAACATTATAAATGTAAACGTTGAACTTCAGGGCAAGGGCATTTAAAGGGATAGTCCACAAATTAAAATTATGTCATCATTTATTCACACCCAAGTTGTTCCAAACCCTTATGACTTTCAGTTCCATCAGTTTAAAATCCAAATCTTCTGAAGAAACACAAATGATGAACAAAGTTAATTCAGGATTTTCTCAACATATCCACCTTTTTCTTCAACGCGGAAGTAAGCCTATGGGTGAGACTTCCGGTTCATTTGCCGCTATAGGTAAATAACGAGGAGAATAACAACATGCAGTAAATGGTAAAACTGTTTGCACTACAAATCAGTGTGTTCATAATTTCAGATAATACATTAAAATAATATGATAAGACACACCAACTTTCAATATCAAGCAGCAAAACTAACTGTTTTGTTCAGCTAAAAATAGCTGGACGGAGTGGACGCAGATGAGACCAGAAGCCAGACCCATATAATTTACAAATGGCCGCGCCCATTTTTACGACAAGAAAAAGGTGGATAAACACTGATCAACACACATACATAGATCACATAAAAAATGGTAAACGGAAGCTCAACCGTACTTGCTTGACGCGTGAGAACAAACCACATTGGTTCTTGCACTTCAGGCATGCACACTTGAGCCTCTGATTAACATGTTGGATTTGCACTCTATATATGTGCATGTTTCGTGTACTATTCATCATATAAAGCAATCGTGTCTTGTCAGAAGACTTGGATTAAACCACATGATTTATATGGATTTCTTTTATGAATTTTTTAAAGAGTCAAAATTTTTCAGTGAAGAGACAGAAAGACAAAACTTTCAGATTTCATTAAGAAAAAAATTATTTGTATTTCAAAGAAAGTCTTATGGGTTTAGAATGACATGAGAGGAAATTAGGACAGAACAAAAAAATCCAACAAATGAAACTGCAGCTCAAGGGAGTTTCCATTAATATAACATTTTGTAATTTTATATAATTCATTAATTACACTTTCTGTTGGGCAAAATAGTATTTTAACATTTTTGTATGATTGTGTGTTGTATATTACCTTTTACATTTTTGCTGTTTCATTAAATGTTTTACTGGGGAATGAAATGTTTGCAGAGGAGCTAATATTGCCAGCCAATAATTTAAATACAAAATGAATTGTAAGCAACTTTAGATGTTTATTAATGTTACATAATATGTTCAATGAGTGAAAACTAAATTGAAAATGTTCAATTGATTTTCTGTAGTCAATTTAGAAGTTTTAATTGAAAATAAAAGTAGTCACAACTAGCTCTTGTCTCCACTATTCAAGACTTCTTTAACCCTGCAGTAGATAAAAACCAGCATCACAGTGTCACTCAAAACTAGTATCTTTGTTTTTAGGCTAAAGTCACTAACAGTCAATCGTTAGCACCTTTCAATACCAGATGACTGTCACACGGCGTCTATTTAAAGAGTTTGCTGCTTTCAAGGACAAACAAAGGACACACAGAAACACAAACAGCGCCGCATGCTCCGAAACCTCAAAAGCCACATGATAAAAACAGGCTGGCGTAAGTGAGTGTGTTTAATGCGTGCTGGGTGCTCATCAGCGGTTTTGCAGAGCATTAATAATTTGTGTGGAGGTAATACTCAAGCTGTTGGAGCTGTAGTTGTGCATTTTTAATGGAAGTTTTACAGAAGTGGCGGCAGGCTTCACATATGCTGCAGACGGCATATGGGAACGAGAGATGATGCAGCACAGTTGGCCAGAGAGCTGCTTTCTTAGGCCGCAAACACTTAAACACTAGCCCGAGAGGAAAGATGCGCTCGCGCACATAAACCTACTGCCGTTTTAGCACACGCCCTAATGAATTCACACACATTTATGTCCAACGCCATCTTGTTTCCACATATGAGGCGGATGTTGGCCCAATCGGAAATGAAAAAGTTATTGGTGCTGCATTCAAATCTGAGCTATTATCTGCCCCAATTTGTAGTTACTCAGAGACCGGTAAACATCTGCTTAAGTAATGTTTGCTTTTAAAGCATCTATAACTTTAATAGAAGCTTCACGAGAGTGTCATAAAGTTGCCACAGAATTGCAACTGATTAAACCGCACTCTTTTCTGTAGCATGCTGACAAAGCTTTCTTCAGTGAAACCTAAATCCCCTGTAGTGATGGGTTTGTGCACAGAAATATATTTCGATCTAATCAACTTGGTGGTGCAATGCAAATTTGTAAAAAGCGTTTTACTCCTAAATAAATGATAAGATGACGACTCCAGTCATATCGGTGTTCTAGAAAAAGCTGTTTATTTCAATTCAGCAGCAGATATTTTTATACAGTAGTTGTTTGACAGTTGAGTATACACAGTTCTTTACAGACTGATGGCATCTAGATGGCAAGCCGTACAAACAAATATTAGATATATTGAGCGTTTCTTATAGGCAAAGATGGAAATTGGGTAAATATTCAAATATTCAGATAATTTCAGTACAAATATTAAGTTAACTTAAGTAAAAAAGTACAAATTTCCCAAAACAATAATATATTATATGGGAAAGTAATTTAAACGCCTGTTCTTATACTTTTCATATCCCAGTGTCCAACAGCTTGAGCTTTTCTGTGTCCCAGTATATATGCATGTGTGTATGTTTCTCTCTGTGTAAGCTGTAATTGTAAATCTTCTGGTCACTTTGTGTTCTAGACCTTTGGTTACTTCTATATGGATTTTCCGAACATTAAATTAAAATTTATTTATTTTTTAGATGTTTCATTATATACATTGCGAATTAGTTAGGGTGGTGTTGTAGGTTTGCAGTGCTGTCTGGAACAGTCTGGCATGGCTGTCGCCTGTGCCCTGGGGTGGGCAGCACTGATGCTATCAGCGTCTTTCGTGTGTCAGCCTGCCCATCGCCACACCCATCACACACTCCAGATATGGCCTGACACTTCCCTCTGCTGAGCCAGCTACAAACACAACACACAACCCCCTCCTAAAATAATCATAGTCACTCAGTGCTGAAGTACACATGAAATCAAAAATTACTTTCTTATTACACATTCTTTTTGTCCATAATTTATTGGTGCATGTTATTCAAATACTACTACTACTACTAATAATGTGTTTATGATTGACTTTAATTTCATTTGTGACCCTGGTCCACAAAACCAGTCATAAGGCTCAATTTTTTGAAATTGAGATTTATACATCAGCTGCAAGTTACATAAATAAGCTTTACATTGATGTATGGTTTGTTAGGATACAGTATGACAATATTTGGCTGAGATACAACTATTTGAAAATCTGGAATCTGAGGTTGCAAAAAAATCTAAATATTGAGAAAATCGCCTTTAAAGTTGTCAAAATTAAGTTCTTAGCAATGCATATTACTAATCAAAAATTAACTGATATATTTATGGTAGGAAATTTAATAAATATCTTCATGGAACATGATCTTTACTTAATACCCTAATGATTTGTTGGCATAAAAGAAAAAAAACAATAATTTGACCCATACAATGTATTGTTGGCTATTGCAACCAATATACCCCAGCGACTTAAGACTGGTTTTGTGCTCCAGGGTCACATATAATAAATAAATACATGACAGATAGATAGATAGATAGATAGATAGATAGATAGATAGATAGATAGATAGATATTTTTTGTATACACTTCATATATTACATAGACTGCCTTCAAAAACAAAATCTAAGATGAAAATAATTCTAAATTCTGCTGATTTTGAGCCAATTGCTAATTTATGGTAGGTCTTAATCACAAAATCTTTGCAAAAGGGAAATTTAAAGTACTGGCATATATGGAACCTGCATCTACAGTATATGCATGAGTTGTGATTGTGATGTGTGATTTACTGCATTTGAATGGCTGGTATACAGACTTTTGTCTTCCAAACATGGACAAAGTTCAGAAATTCTTGACAGCTTCTCAAGTCATTTGTTGTTTAGTATCATCACTGATGTGTTTGTGGCTCTTCAGGGCCCTCAGACTGCTAAATATGCGCCACATTCTATGGTACTCTCATCAGTCACAAAACAACTCAGGACGCCATTAACCGACCGCACTGCCTGCGAGCAAGCCGTCGATGTGCACGCAGCATAAATCTGCTGTTTTTGACATGGAAGTTCTAAAATATTCATTTTGTTAGGATGATCCAGGTTGTTCTCAGGGGGGATGGGAGTTAATTCATGTGCTTGCAGTTGTTACCAAGCAGAATCAGTGGTACATTTAATTAGACAGCAATCTGGACAGCAGTCTGCGCCCTGCTGTTCTTCTGCGTTTAATAACGTGTGAAGCCATGGGCGGAGGTTAGCGAATATATCCCACTATAGATTCCTAGATTAACCAAAGGAAGAAAGAATTAGCACCTAGTCCAGGTGTGAGGGATACAATCATGGGAGAAATGCACTGACTGCCTGTGGTGAAGGTGACAATACTCCCTTCTTTACACTCTTTAGCTCTGTTCCAAAACCCAGGGAGCAGTTTTAGGCATCATTAGGCATGCTGTTTCACAAGGTAAAAAGCAACATGCTGCCTTTAAAGATAATTTTGGCTAAAACATGCGTATGTATTCTTCACAGGTAAGGCAACACCAGAATGTATCAAAATTAAAAAGTCAAAATTAAAAATTCATTTTTTTTCGCCCCCCCCGTATTGTGTTGTTAGCTTAGCAGCATGCTAATGTCCGGTTCTATTGAAATCAATTGTGAGTGGATTTTTGTGTGAACTTCACTTGAGGAGCCCCATTTTTGTTGTGTGCATATAAAGTATTCTGAGTCATTTTTTAATTTAGGATTCTGCATAGAAGATGCCCACCTCTATAATGGCTCCATCAGGTTGTCTCAGGAAGTGTCTGTAATGATGGCGCAGGCCGCTCAAGTGCAGTGTGTAGATGGATAAATGGGTGCTGGTCTCACATCCGGTATTGGGCGTGCCCGAAGGTGGTGCCAATCCTACCGCAGGCTCCTCCTCCGTCCAGATGTAGTCATACACTGCCACCTAGGAGACACATACACCCCCCCACATATACACACCTTGTTAGAGACAACTCAAGTATTTAAACAGTATTGCAATACTAAGTACTAAAACAATTTGCTACGTGAGTGACTGTTAATGAAAACTCATACATGAAAACTTGCACACATGCTCTACAGATGATTTGGGCCAAAAACAACACTGGACCCCACAAACTTTCACTGAAGAGCATTTTTCTAAATATCTTCTTTTGCCTTCCATTGAAGAAATACAATTATTCTAATTATTCTAATGCCATGGGAGTAAGTAAATGTTTAGTTCTGCATTTTTTTTTAATTATTCAGATTTTTTTCTGCACACCAACTACACACAGGTGGATTCCAAAACGTTTTAATTTCAGTACTTTTCTGAAAGACATTGTGAATCAAAAAATCAAAAAGAGTAAGGGTGCCATTATTTTTGCCATGTCTGTAAATGAATGCAGAAACCAGAAAATGCAGAAAACGGTTTTATTTATTAATTTAAATGAAACTACTTCTAAAAAATATGTTTTAGACTGCTTTGCAAAAATTTGGTTTTGTAATTCAAGAAATTTTACTGGTATGCTAACGCAAATAAATTAAAATAGACACTATGACCACGCGTTCACGTAGCTGCATGTGTTTGTGTGATCAGATCAAGGGTGTATCTAAGTGCAACTGCATGCTTGCACGAATGCTTACCCTAACACAATTACCTGCCCTACCTGCGGCCACAGTTCAGCGCTCACTGAGATGAATGCAAACCCAGATAGTTGACAGTAATGGTCTGTAATTTACAGCTGTGCTTGTGAGGTGATGAGCTCTGCCTGAGAGACGCAGGAATGCAGCGTGTCAGGTTTCTGCATGACTCACGCAGCCTCTGACCCTGACACGACACTAACACACACCAGCCTACAATAACCTGCTTCAGCCTAATCCTTAAACGACAGAAAGGAAAAACAAAGAAACTAGTGGCCCGTATCACTCATTAATACTAGTGTTAAGGGCTATGCTTGGAATAGCATGCTATTTGTTCTATTTTTGCATGGTATGTACATTTTCTTTATGCATGGAATGCTTGGAAGACCTACTACTTTTACTACAGTCTGCTCAACTTGACCTTGCATTTACAGCTGTATGAATGAACCCAGAAATGGTTATCAACCTCAACATGCATTCTGCTCACTTTTTCCATGCTTCAGGCCTTATTGTGCACAAAAGAAGATGAAATGATCAAAAATTATCAAAATGTGTTGATGACTTTTCTTCTTTATTTATTTTATATATGCATAATATTGTTTATCGTTGCATACAACATTCTGTTTCACATACTGTACTATTTTTTAACAAATTGCAGTCAGTGGACAATGTATATTACACACTATGCAGGAAACAGTATGCTAGTGTTTCAATCAGAACATAGGCAGAGCTTTGAACATCAAAGGCTCATGGGAGATTACAACAGAGACAAATATACAAATGCAAAAAAAAGGGGAAATACAAGATGAAAAAAAATCAGATGTTGTGATTAAATCATATCTTAAGTGTCTCAGCTGGTCTGATGTCATGAGGGATGGCTCTGATCCAAGTATACGGGTCCCTTGTGTGTGTTGTACCTGTAATGCACTGCCCTGCTCTATTAGAGGAACACAGGAGACAAGCAGAGCGTGTAACATGCTATATAGGTCATGGATCTCAGATGCATTGGTGTGTGAAGATCACAGCGCCTCTCACCCAACTGGGCCAGCTTCACACTAGTGTCAGCACTGCTACACACACCCCCTCTGACCTCAAACACACACACACATGCACACTATACATATACTCATCATTTCTCAAACATATGTGTGAATGCGCTGTCACAGCATGTTATGTGCAAAGACTCACCATTTATTTTAGGTCTGAATGTATTACCATGGTGTTGTGGACATGTACATTGGAGTATCATGAAAATAATGTGGTACATGAATATCATTTAGGACTATATAATATATCAAAGAGCCACAATACTACCTTCTAATGCTATCAAAAAAAGGCGAGAGAGTCTTGAATAACCCTGAAATGAATTATTTACATGTAATTTTATATATTGTATATGCACATGTAAGATGTGACTATGTGAGGAAAAATAAAGTGATATGGTAGGGATGAAATATTTTTTGTTGACCATGTCAACTAGATGAGCACCAGATACAGATCCCCTCCAAAGACCTCATCACCTGACGGCCATCGGGGCAAGACCACAGAAACCAGATGAGTCCTCTGCACAATCTGACTTTGTTGCAACCTAGAATTAAACTGCTGGTTTCGTCTGGCTAGAGGAAAATGGCACACTATTTTGACACACTATTTCCCTGTGTAATACTGTAAAGCTGCTTTGACACAATTTGCATTGAAAAACACTATATAAATAATGGTGACTTGACTTTCATATGGGTATTTTGGCATGGGTTTTTGTATTTCTATTTGAATGGGTTTGCGGTTAAATGCCTGAAATAAGGTCTGTGGTTAACACAAGCTCAAGATATGTTCACATATTATTCTATGATATATCATAGAATCAGTATTACCCCCTTGTGATTTTTTAAGCTTTTACTTGTCTTGAAAAATGCAGTTGCTAACAAGTGGCTAAATGAGACTATACTGCTGGGGACATTAAACATCATCTTGTCTTTTCCCGCTTTTATAGCCTCACTGTTTATAATTGCACTTTTGCAAACTATTCTATACTATTCTTTCTTCTGGTGATTGTATTTAGGCTTCAAAATTCATAAAAGTTGTGTTCATTTGCGAAGATTATCATGATGAATAAAATGTGTAGGAATCATACATTTTTCTTGGCCATGTGAGCTTATTTCCTGCAATAATCCAAAATGGAAAAGTCCTATTGGGTTTTTTGTCAAGGAAACCAGGGTGCAGCACTCTATAGTGGACTTTTTTGGCTATAAAGAACAATGAAAACTCAGTCCAGCATGTCTGGATGACCAACAAGATGAATGCAGAGAAGAAAACAGGACCTCATCCTCTGAGACTGGAAACACTTTGATGGGCGTTTGGAAGAAGTCAGCAGGCTCAGACAGGCCTGAATTCAGATTACCAGATGACTCACTTTCTCTCTGTTTCCCTTTTTCCCCTCTTTTAGCAGGAAGTTTTTCAGGCCACAGCCGAGTTTATAAATTCAAGGTGACCCCTTAATTGGCTCTATAATTACGACTCCTCTGGAAAAACATAGGTCTTGTCAGGCAGGGTCAGAGCGAAGGAGAACTTTAATTTCACTGTGTACCCCCGTCTTGATTTTCCAACTACTTAAGACTGTTGGCTAAACACAGGTCGTGCTGGTAGGTCGGAAATTGAGAGTCATTACTGCACGTAATTAGACACTTCTTAAATACAGAGTGCCTGGAGAGAAGGTCCACACTGAGCATTGTCACAGGACACATCAAACGTCATCGGAAAGACATGAGCGAGCAAATTGCAAACACTCAAAGTCTGTTCTCTGAACGATTCATGTGTGGTCTGGACAGATACTGAAGACTCTGTTGTTTAGCGCTTCGTATGTCGTGATGTTTCAAGTGACTCCGCGGCTCTTTGTCGCTTTAGCAACATCTCATCTTGGTTGTTCACACTCAGTGTGGTTAATCTGCATGTGTAATTCCACTGTCAGAAATCACAAAGTCTGTATTCTGAGCATTTCACGCATTGCATCATGGTTATTCCTTTGAACCTTTTCTTAAACGCGAGAATACTTGGCGGACGCTTCTCTCCAGCGCCGTCTTCGCGCTGGTGGTAAGTGCTTGACTCAGACTCAATGCCTGGCTGTTCTCAGGGAACCCATCTGTGGGTTAAGCAGATAGCATTCAAGTGAGCTAACCTAATTCTAACCAATCAAGCTTCGATTTATTGTGGACGTCTGTATTCAGAAATCTGATAGAGTCCATATCAGTCTCTTTATTTGAATCTGGAGAGACAGCCATTGCTTCTTTGAGGACTATAAACATCAAACCATGACTCCCAGCCGCAACATAAATTCTGATTTTGCAGGCGTTACGGCAAACGGACAGACAGGCGGGGGTCCAGGAAGTGAAAATATGGACTGGTGCTCCATTCCACTCCAAATGAGCCTGTGCCTGTGCCCAAGCAAATGAGATTACACATCTCCATATTTGTAAAAATGGATATCCGAAATTTGATAAGTGCATTATTTAAGTGTGGGTGCCTCCTCACGACAACCCTAATATGCTGGCCAGCATGTACGAAAGCTGCTGTTTAATGGAGTAATAACTGCAGTGCCAAGTCAGAGTCAGATGAGAGCAGCTTTTTAAATACTGACATAAGGGCCAAATTTATTCAGCGATTTCAAACAGACCCAAATGTTCTTGTGTAAAACAAAATGCAACTGCTAATTATACTGTAAAAAGTACATATCTAAAGGGTGAACAAAACGTCTAAGAATAAAATAAAAGGCAACAAATTAAACCCACAGTTTATAAACATGTAAGCATGCAAAGGAAATGCTCTATGTTGCAGTCTTCCACATCTTTCTTTCATTTTTTGATCAATTGGGCATTTTAAGAAATTATTGCAGCTATTTATTTATTTTTTTCATTTCTGCAGACCTGATAAATGCCCACATTTGCATCAGCACACTCTTGAGTTCCGACTGAGCATTTGATGGATAGATGGATATCTTGAGCATTTATTTATTTATTTAGCATAACCCTTTACCCCCTTTTACCCACCTTCAATCAATGACTTCATATTGTTCTTTTGACAAGGCATTTGACAGTGTAAACCCTAGTGTGTGAACTGCATTGCAACATGACTCTGAACAAAAATGTGTTGTTTATTATTATTCATTTAACACCAAATGCAATCAATAAATAGTATTATTTTACCCGAAATTAGGGTGTGCTGTATATTTTAGAAGTTTAATAGAATATGCTTTTGTTAGCTTTGCAATATGCTAATGTCTAAATTCATCAAGTCAAGTCATGTCACATTTTA